CCAAATGCGAATGCACGTGAACCAAAAGGAATTCATTGCTATAGTTACGCAAATAGTCTTGTTCCAATTCAATTTGAATTGCCACGTATTAATCCAAAATTTATTGGTAAATCATATCGATATGTATATGCTACACGTGCACCACCTGGCCGATTGTTCGATGCATTGATTAAATTAGATGTTCAATCAAAAGAACAAGTAGGTTTATGGGAAGAAGCATGTAAATCACCCAGTGAACCTATTTTTGTTCCAAGACCTGATGCTAATCATGATCAAGAAGATGATGGAGTTGTTTTATCGATAGTTTTAGATCAACAAGCTAAGAAATCATTTTTACTTGTACTTGATGGCATTACATTTAAAGAACTTGCTCGTGCTCATCTTCCCATACATATTCCTTTATCATTTCATGGCAACTTTTATTAAATTTTTACATTATTTTTATTGTCTGTGGACATTAATTAGATTTTTAGAATGATTCTTTGATTACTTTTTTTTCGAAAAAAACAAAACAAAGTAAAAATAAATACTTCTAAAGCATAAAATTACTTGATGAAAGAACTCTTCATTGGTCGATGATTATATGTTTGAAGCATTGTGTCTTTCTCGTTGTTCTTAATAAAGCGAGAAAGAAAAAATTGATTCAATTTTATTATAGAAATATTTATTTACCTGACTAGAATATGAACTGATCAGAGTTATTAGTATTCAACAATTAGTGTATAAATGTACAGATAGTTACAATTGATGAAACTAGAATATGTAAATTATCATCGTATTTCATCGGTGAGCAAAACAAAAGGAAATGGAAGTCTTCTTAGCGTACAACAAATAGAATCATTTACTATTTTCTTGTTTGTCTTTTTGAATTTCCCATCCCTATGTCATTGAGTGCTACATATCGAATGAATACGATGTAGACGGCCAATACCAGTGTTGGATTGATGAACCGAAATCTAAATCCAGGAAGATAACATCAGCTATCACTTCATAGAATAAATGAAGGTCGTATATATAAAGATGAGAATTGAATAGATTGAGTCCTGATCCTTACGATTCATCGGAATATCCAACATTAAGAAGTACAACACCTCATAAAGGAAAGCAGAAATATGAATTGTTTTGAGTATTTCTCGACAGATAATCACTTGCTATCTCAATTTTATTATTCCTAGTATGCAAAATTCGAAGAAATAAGAATTGACAGTGTCTACTATATAAGATTCGTAGAATCATTTTAGTTGGTTAATGACTGCGGGTGTGTGGGGGGTGGGTGTGTTATCAATCATACACGCACACGTACACCCACACCCCACACCCATCTGTCTCCTCATTTCACAGTAAAATGTGTGTCAGGGTGGTTTCTCATTCACCGATATCAACATCCTATGGTGGTGGTTAATGGACGTATACAAAATCATGCATTGTCTTTTTTGATATCCGTAACTACTCTCATAGTATTGAAATCGAGACCGGTTCGTTTTATCTAGATATCGAAGATCAACTGCGTCTTTTCATAGAAAAACCTATCCCATTAAAGAATGTTTCTCCGAAAGCTTGCATCCAGAGACGAAAATACGAACCCAGCCGAGCCGAATTGAACTATCATCAATTTTGTAAAAATATGATGGCATTGACAAAGATGAGATGAGTTTTAATAGTATGTTTTTAGTTCTAAATTTAATCATCGTGTGGCAAACGTTTGTTTTCTCTTCATAGTAGTTACAAAAATTTTTTTCATGACAATGAGTCTCTTCTATACGGCATAATTCTTTTGTCTTTATCTATCTTAAATTTTATATCAATTTTCTGTACTGCAACGTATAATTGTCCGTAGTAGTATGCAAAGAGTAATAGCTCTAAAAAAACTGTTGATATTGACGCCTTAATGTTAAAAATTTAATTCAAATCCACAAATATGTTAATTCATACAAATACCAATTCTCATGTTACACCTTCTATCGTCTACCTTTTGCTAGAAAGGAACTAATGCTACTAGAACAGAGTCGAAATTCATCTAGCAAAAGACGATTCGATTCGATCTCTGAAAACAACTTATTCGAAAAAATGAAAATATTCTTTAATATTGCATTATTGGTGCCATATTTTTCCAATGTGTTTTCCTATAATTGGCAGTATATATTTCTTTCCATAACACCATCAATATAGTGCGTGTCGTTTATGACATTCAACTGTAGATGAGAAAATTAGTTCAATATTGGCACGTACTTTATTATTTTCTTAGAACGCCATTGATTATGGCATTATGTAAGGTGAGGAACAGCCCATGTAAAAATGTATGTAAAATTTAACGATTTAACGAAATTTAATGTTACCTTTCTGTCCTTGAAAACGCGTTAAAATAATTATTAACGTAGAGAAACAAGTGAAAATTCGTTAAATTCATATTTTAACGCGTTTTCAAGGACAGAAAGGTAGCATTAAATTTCGTTAAATCGCTAAATTTTGCATACACTTTTACATGGGAGGCCTATGAAAGTATTGTTGTTTGAAGAAAGGTAAAACACGACTAACATTGAAGTGTCATAGTCTTTTATTTCATATTTTAATAGCTATTACTAGAAACATGATCAATGAAAATGTGAAGAGAAGTATTTTTTACTAGGATTTTTTTTACAGAAGAATAATAGTCGAGTTTCTCATTCAGCTTCTATTGAAGACTATTGATAAACCTACTTAAGATATGGAGTTGATTTCCGATCACGAGATTAATAAAGGGTGATTCAAAAGTTTCGACCCTTCTCATTAAATCGATGATATCTATGACAAATCTATATATAGTTAATTTATCGAACTAATGTAATCTGGTAGAGAAAGATCAGAGCTATCATCTGAAAAAAAGAAGATACTTCGAAATACATAAATGTAGTACAATCTTAAGTGAATATTTTCATCTCATATTTTTCGAAAAAAATTTAAAACAAAATATTTTAATAAAAGATCTAAATGATTTATAAGTTAGTCAGACTAACTTTTCGTATAAATATTAATAATCAAATTTTGTCATGCGTTGATCTTGTTTTCAACCTTTTTGGAGTATTGTTAATCATTTTCTCACATTTTTCTACACTATTTTTTTTTAATTTACTAATCATTTTTTGTTTGCTATTTTGATATTTACTTAAATCTTATCGACTCATGCCTCGTAAGTTTTATATTGGTTGCATTTCATGTATTTGACTTTGAAATGTGTAGTGGGGCTTTTTTTAAATAAAACTGTCAGAAAGATAAATCCAAGTAATTAGTATACTAAAGAATAAATTAGAAACAGTAAACTTCATAAAATAAGACTGTCAATATGAAAGCCTTTAACAATATGAATAGTGTTACAAAACTACAATCATCATCAGTAAATATAATGAGTATTATTCCATTAAAATGAAAAATCTTATACAAAATCCATGCGGGCTAAAGATATACAACTATTATAAAAACCCTGTTAAATTTTTCTTAAAAAAATGTAAGATGAAAATATTCACTCAAGATTGGTTAAAATTACCATAACATTCGATTATATTTACGCGTTTCTAAGTGTCTTTTTTTCATATCATACTCCCTCCTTCATAAATTTTTTTCAGCCTAAAAATTCACTTTTTTTGAAAAACCCTATAAATATATGGTTTTCTTGGCTTTGCTCAAGCACACATCATTTTTCTTCTTTCTTTCAAAAAAAGTAACCTTGGCTATACGATAAACATCTGCTAGAATCTTATTACAGACATTTTCTCTCATTCAAAATTAACATCCAAATGTTCTAATTCTGACATTCATTGTGACTCTCGTAGGCAGATTGTATAAGTGAGCATGATTGTTGTTTGAGATTTATAAAATACGTTCGTTTCAGTTTTGCTCACCAATAGTATGGTCATATTTTTCTTTTTGTATGGCTTGATCTGACGCTTGAAATGATGACTATCTAAGAAGATTCGATAGAAATTGAGAAGAAAAAAGATTCTGCTAAACTCATCTTTCAGTCCCGTAAAAGGCTTAGCATTTTGGTATGTTCTACGGAAATCTGTATCAAGAAACGATTTCTGAAAGAAAATTAGAGGCTATTTGCTAGAAAATGGAACTTTTTTATATAAATAATTAATTTTTTCAAAGTGACTACTAAGTAGTGCTGATCACGTGATCAGTTGGCCTTACCCCCTTCCCCCTATGTGATTTTTCGTGATATTTTCTGGACCCCCACTCTCTCCCTAATTGATCACGTGATTTCTGAACAGCTCCTAAGTCTAATCTTCCTCTACAAAATTAAATATTTCGATCAATTAACTATACATATATGTATATGTTTGTCATAAATATCATCGATTTACTGAGAGGCGTCGAAACTTTTGAATCACTCTTTATATTTGAACTGGTCAATGTCTGCTATCTAGGCTAGAGTTAAGTTAGAACTCAATTATTATAACATATGTATATGTCAGATTTTACTTTGAACGGATATTTTAGCAGATTTTTTTTTAATATACGATTAGAATCAAGATTCTAAAAAATCCAACTTTATCATTCAATGGAAGACAAAATAGATAGTTCGAAGCAGTGTTCATTCCTTGAACATCGTCGGCGATCGATCCTGACAGGTTATTTAGTCACTACTGCAACACATGGCCTACGCAATATCGGTATTGCTAACAGCAAATTGCATCGAGCATTTTGGACTATCACCTTTATGATGATGTTCGGCTTGATGTCCTGTTTCATACTCATGGAACTCTTGCAATATTTTGCTTTTCCTACACACATTAGCGTCGTCATTGTGCCCATACGCGATATGCTATTCCCACCTGTGACTGTGTGCAACGCTAATCCGTTTAGAAAAGATCGAATGAACGAAGAACTCAATGCTTATGCGCATGAGAAGGGTATTAATGTGAATGAATCGACTTCTGAGGTGCTGGCTGTTACCATGCTCATTGATATGTTTAATCGAAACAAATCGCATGAGTTCGAAAAGTTTGGATTTCAGCTATCAGATATGTTACTTGAATGCTCATACAATGATATGAATTGCTCATCGAATTTTGTTCATTCTCTATCGTCGGTCTTTGGTATTTGCTATACATTCAATTGGAAAGTGCCCATGAAGAAATTATTTACGCTAGCTGATCTAGGTTCAACATTGATGATGTACGAAGGCTTGTCTATAACTTTTTACATACCGCGTCATCTTAGTTTTCCATCAACAACCTTCGAAGATGGTCTTGCTTTATTCTTACATGACAACGATGAACTTTCATTCATGGTTAAAAATAGCATACGATTACGACCTGGTCTCGCTCATATAATAACATATCGAAAAAGTGAAACAATTTTTCTTCCTAAACCTTATACGAATTGTACAACTGCAGTTGGACGTAATTTGCGTCATATCTACGAGGTTATCTTCGATCCGCATTTGGCCCTTCAAGTTGCTTATTCCGAAGCTTTATGTTATGAATTGGGTAAACAAGCATATATTTTCTCACAATGTTCCTGTATTTTGCCTATTCCATTTCTTATGCGAAATGTCTTTTCGTTGGATCATGATCGACTTCTAATCGCCAATATTTGTATGCCGGCCACGTTGGACGAAAACTGTGCATTGAATGCACGACAGCAGATAGCTTTGAATGCATCTCTCATGGCTGTTTGGTGTTCCCGATGTGCTCCACAATGTAAGCACACACAATTTTCGATCGATGTTAGTGCATTACCGGCGCCAACTGCGCAACAAAAAGCATCATGGAAAAATGTTTTGTTAAAAAACAATTCTAATATGTCCTTGCCGGATAATTTTGCTACCAATTATGATGCCTACATGGACGCCAATTATTTACGAGTGACTGTAGCATGTGCTAGTCCATATGTAACAATACATCAACAACAGGCTAAATTAACGCTCATTGATACATTTTCGGCCATTGGAGGCCAAACTGGACTGTAAGTAAAAGCTTCTTTTTTGTTGACAACATTCTATTATAATGAGTTAATTGAAGGTGGATTGGCCTTAGTGTGCTAAGTTTAATGGAATTCTGCGAGTTGATCTATCAATTAATTATAAAACAAATTATACTATGGCGATATCGGCGAAACATGCACACTGAAATGCAAGTGAAACCGTCGATGACCACGATTGAAAGTGTACCAAATCAATCACAATAACAACCATAAACCTTTTTTTGAACTAACAAATGTGAACTATTTTTCAGATTTTCTTTGATTTAAGTGTCCTAACGAGGCTTCTCTGCTTTAGAAACACATTTTATTTTGACTGATTCTTGTTAGCTGACAAATTAATCAATACAAGACTCTAACATATAATGAGTTTAAATCAGCTCTATCCAAGTCTCCTTAAAACGCGATTAACAAATTTAAACAGTATTGTTGTAGGCTTAAAATATGCAACATAATCGAACTATTTCAATCGTACATGAAATGACATTGACTTGAATAAAGATTTATCGTGCAGTTCCAAAAGCAGGGTGTGGGTGTGTGGGTGTGGGGTGTGGGTGTGGGTGTGTGGGTGTGGGTGTGGGTGTGGGGTGGGGTGTGGGTGTGGGTGTG